AAGGAGTACTCCATATCGCTTCGCGATTTTTTGTTGACCAAATCAATTGTCCTTGTCCATCGCTATCTTCAGGCCGCCAAGAAAGTCAGTGAATGACGCCGTCGACGATCCGCCGATCTCCATCGCGCGAGTGGCCATCTGTTTCGCCAACGCCATCCTCTCCCTGATCTGCTTCCCTTGCTCTGACTCCATCACCAGCCTCACCTTGGTCTCCACCTCCTCCGCCTTCACCACCCCGTCGTCGTCATAGCCATCCATCACCACCCCAAGCTTCATCTCCTCCACGACGAACACCTTGTTCATCCTCTGCTCCGCGTACATCGGCCAGCAAACCATAGGCACCCCTGCCGTGACGGCCTCCAGCGTCGAGTTCCACCCGCAGTGCGTCACAAACGCGCCGGTCGCCGGGTGTCGCAGCACCTCCACCTGCGGCGCCCACGACGGCAGCACCAGCCCGCGCCCCCATGTCCTGTCCAAGAACCCCTCCGGGAGCAGCGACTCCAGCGCCGCCTCGCCGCGGCCCTCAAGCCGTTTCGTCGAGTCCGCGTCCGCCGCGACCGGCGCGCGCACGGCCCAGAGGAACGAGTGCTTGCTCCTCTCCAGCCCCACGGCGATCTCCTTCAGCTGCTCCGCCGGCACCGAGCTCGCGCTCCCGAAGCAGAGGAAGACCACGCTCCGCGGCGGCTGCGCGTCCAGCCACCTTAGGCACTCCTGCTTCTCCTCTTCGCCTCCGCGCTCTTCGCCGACCAATGGGCCGACGCAGAATAATCTCGGCGCGGGCTCGCCAGGGCGGGGGATCCCGTCTCGTATTGCCTTCACGGCGCGGGGCTCCAGCCACTCGAACGTGTTCACCAGTACGCTCTTCGCTTTGGCCAGCTGCTCGAAGAAAGCGATGGTTGCCTTGTACTGGTCCTTGTCGCGGTCGAGCAGGAGCACTTCCGGCAAGTCGGACGCCGGAATCGGATGGACTCCCGGGATGCGCAGCAAGGAGCGCCCCATCTGCCCGAAGGACACGGCGGATCGCATGACGGGGATGTGCAGGTAGGAAGCAAGGGCCGAAGCGCAGGAGACGAAGAACAGGTAGGCCGGGACGCCGAGCTCCGCGGCGGCGTCGAGCCCATACGCACAGAAGAAGTCGATGACGAGGGCCTCCACGGACGGGAGGGAGCGGACGAAGGCGGTGAGCGCGGCGTTGGTGGCGCGGAGGTCGGCGAGGAGGGTGATGAAGGGGTCAGCGTCAGGGTCGGCCGTGTCGGCGCCGGAACGGGCCGGTGCCGCCGGTGGTAGCAGCTGGAAGGAGACGGAAGGGTAGTAGGCGGAGAGGCGGGCAACGGTCTTACGGGACTCGCCTGACGACGGAACGTCGGCGACGGCGACCGTGACGGGGACGCCATGGTTGGCGATGCGATCGGCGAGCTGCGTCATGGGGTGGAGGTGCCCCCGGACCATCCATGTGTACAGCACGACCCTGCTCCTCATTGCTCGATTATGGCTCGTGTTTTCTGCGTGTTTATGGAGTACTACAAGGGGATATAAATGGGAATCTATGTTGCCGACGGCCGAGTTGTTGGCAGTCATCGGCAGCCGGCAAAGTTGGAACCACGAGCTATATCCTATTATTTGATTCCTAGTGATGAGATGATGTTTTCTAATAACAAAATGTGCCAGACCATGCTTTCCTTTGAAACTTTGGAGGCAGATATTAAAAAAATAAACCCCGCATATCCTAACTTTTTCTTCAAACTTTTAACTTTTCCACACATAAACTTCTAACTTTTTTCTTCAAACTTCTAATTTTAGCGTGGGAACTAAATACACCCTTTAAATGTACTACGTCTTTAAAATAGTATTCTATTTTTTTATACTTATACAATTCATTCTATTTCTATATACTACGTCTTTAATGTGATTTTCTTGTGTTGTGGTGAAGCCACGTCATCTCATCCCTACACTATAGTAAGGTTGCTAAATTTTGGTAAGATTTCATATGTACTTACTAAAATTTAGCAACAAACTAAATGTAACCATTTTTTTGGAACTTTACTAAAAAAGATAAGGTTAAAAATAGTAGCAAAGTAAACAAGCCCTTAATATGATTTTCTTGTGTTGGGGTGAAACCACATCAATCTTGATTTTCTTGTGTTGGGGTGCAGCCACGTCATCTTAAATAAGCCAGACCATTGGATGAAGCAACGTACACTCCAGATTGTCTCAGTTTTGCTCGGGCCACAATCTCTCCATCTGCCCCATCCCACTAACAAATTTAAGGTTAGCCAAAGCCTCAGAAGACGCACGCAAAAAAATATATACATCTTCCACTCACGTATTTACGGAAAAAAAAAGGTGCATCTTCCACTAACTCATTTTAAAATTTGTCGGTGCTAACCCTACAACGGTAATACACACGCAGGCACGCAGCGTATGTTGTGAAAGCATTTCAGGCATATGCATCTTCAGAACAAACATTTCAAACATGTAGTCTAGCAAGAATATTGAAGACATTTCAGGCATATGCATCTTCAGAACAGACATTTTAGGTAATAAACATAGAGTATTAGGAAATCAACAACATTACACCTTCAATTATGTATGCACTACTTCATTATTCATTTAACTGAACTGGTGAGCTGGATCAGGTACACCACCGGGAAACAAATATTAAAGAACCATGGGCATTTGTAACAGTTGGGAATTAACAGTTCGGTCAATCTGAGACATTGAAGTACATTTCCTTTTTTTTTCAACCGCTGGAGATCATTGTGCATCTTATTGGCCATTCGGCATCATTTGACGGAGGGAGTAGTATTTACAAATTAAATCCGAATCTACAAACCTGAATAAATCAATGATACAACCTAGTTTCCATAATATTTGGACAAGGATAAAATCAAGAACCAGTGTTGCCTACCCCCTCCGTCCAAAAAAACCCAATCCTAACTAGGGTTTGTCTTTTTTTTTGGACGGGGTAGTACAATATAGTTCAACATAACCATCCCACTTAAATAAAGAAACTTCCCAAATTTTACATCATAGGAAAAAACTGAAAAAAAAACCCCACCCCATTCACCACGATCTCACCAATCCAGATGTATTAGTTCAAATCTTATTTTCACGGAAACGTTGTATCTACTATGACCATTCACAATGCGCTTATGTGGCATCCGGCCTGAGTAGAGGGAACCAAATATTTGCCATGACCGCGTAGCCAAAGTATGCCATTGGTTCCTCGTCAGTTTTTGCAGGTGTGGCCCATACTAGTGCTCCATACCGCCAAGGGAGGGATGGAGGGAGAGAGAGGAGAGGAGACAGATGCGTCGTCATCCTCGTGCTCCATGCCGCCGAGCTCGTCACCCATGGGAGGAGGGCGACTGGGCGCTGTCCTCGCCGTTGAAGCTCGCAGGCTCGATGAGGAAAGCAACGGAGAAGGAGAGGAGCTCGAGGTTGAGGCGAAAGGGACGGCAGCGGTGGAGGTCGATCTGGCCCCCCCCTCCCCCCCCCCCCCCCGGGGAGCTCGATGCGTAGCCAACGCTAGCGAGGAGAAGGGAATAATGGATTTGGCGTCGGCAAACTCAGGAGAGAGGGGAGATCCAGCGAGCCGCCGCCATCGCCGCCCAAGGCCGGATCCGGTGAGCCCAGGCCGGATCTGGCCATCCCGCCGCCACTCCATCAGTGTCGTCGCTGCTCGGTCCACCGCTCCGCTCGGCTCCGCGAGGAAGACGAGGTCACGAGGCTCCGGTCGACGGAGACCTCCATGAGGACGACTGCGAGGGCGAATAATCAAGGGGGAATTCGTAAGCATACGCTGCAGGAGCAGCGGCGACGGTGGAAGATCGAAGGGTTTAGGGTTTGCCGTGTCAATTGGTGTAGCGGGTCATTAAACATAGTTGGAGGCGATGGGACGCGGTGGCCGGTGGGATCAATCTGCTACTTACATGTTTCTACCGCACGTGCACTTAATAGCACTTCTGTTTTTACTTTGTTGCAAAATAAACCCAACTAATATTTTGTTTATCAAAATTTGAATGTAACAATCAAAATATTGTCCAAACCAGCATTCACGGTCAAGACATGATAATTCTAGAATCTTTGACATCCTCAAGATCTAGAAAACGGTCAATCTATGGAGCATGTGTGGAGGCTAAGATTTTGCGAGATTATTTTCCTAAACCACCCCCTGTAAGCGTGTAGCTTTGGTGTCTTTTGTTGTCCTTGGTTTTGTTGTCAGATTCTGAGCATGTTAGTTTTTCTCCATACAACCGATTTACTCCCTCCGTCCAAAAAAACCAACCTAGAAGAGAACACCTAATACAATGAAAACCAGTCTAGAAGAGAACACCTAATACAACGAATCTGGACATAAGGTTGTCCAGACTCGATATACTGGGATGGGACACATCCCCTCCTACACCTAGTACAACGAATCTGGACACATTCTCTCCTACACCTATTACAACGAATCTAGACATAACGTTATCCAGATTTGATATATTGGGAGGGGACACATCCGCTCATAGATTGGTTTTTTTGGATGGAGGGAGTATGTAGATAATTGTTACTTTTTGGGTTGTGTAACGGGACATTTAACTATTTACTACATTTAAGATATGGCAATTAAGGATTTGTTGCTTGCTGTCTATAATATGTGAGTCCTCATATGTCTATAATATATGGGTCAATTGACAATTCATTTTTTTTGTGAGGACATTGAAAATTCCTTTAGAATCACTTGTAAGAGTGGCAAATAGTTAATTATTCCATGTATAACACCAACAGTTTGGTGGCTCAGGTTAAAAAATGCTCCTCTGTCCTATTTTAAGTGCAGTTGTGGGTTTCTGTGTCTGTCTAACATTTGATCGTCCATCTTATTTAAAAAATTTATAAAAAAAATAAGTCTTGCATGAATATAAAAATAAAAATACTAATTTGACCGTCAGTTCGGCCGTCTGTTTTATTTGAAATTTATTTATGATTAGTATTTTTAGATGATAAATGCAAGGTGCTTCAAAGTTCAAATTCTCAAGTATCAACCTAAAGTATAGTTGCATGAGGGAGAAAAAACTGGGAAATAAATTAGTGTGTTCTCTGTAAGGATGCCCGGACTTTGCATGAGATGCGCTAGCATAGTTGCACCGTAGTCTCATACAGATTCGGCCACATCACGACATGAACAACTCTAAAATCTGACGAAATCTAAATATACTGAAGAACATTATTCTCGGTCCTGCTAAAACCAACTCGGCTACAGTGTTTCAGTCATGCACGGGTGTATCTCTCGGGCCGCTTTTCACGTTGTTCGTCCCCAAATTGTTCAGGAATTCGGCGAACGCCATGTCAGACGAACCCCCATCTTTGACGGCATCAGCAGCCATCTCCTTGGCCATCGCCGACCTCTCCCTAAGCCTCTTCCCTTCCTCCGACTCCATCACCAGCCGAACCTTGGTCTCCAGCTCGTCGGCCTTAACAAGCTCGCCGTCGTAGCCCTCCACCAACACCCCAAGCTTCATCTCCTCCACCAGGTGCGCTTTGTTCAGCCTCTGCTCCGCGTACAGCGGCCAGCAGATCATCGGCACGCCGGACATGATCGCCTCCAGCGACGAGTTCCACCCGCAGTGCGTCACGAACGCGCCGACGGCGCCGTGCTGCAGCACCGCCGACTGCGGCGCCCAGTTCTTCACGACGAATCCCCTGCCTTGGGTCCTCTCCAAGAACCCTTCCGGAAACAACGCCTCCAAGTCCACCTCGCCGAGGTTGCTACGCACAGCCCACAGGAATCTGTGTCCGGAGTTCTCTATCCCCCGAGCCATCTCGCTCAGCTGCGACACCGAGAAAGTGCCCCTGCTCCCGAAGCAGAGGAACACCACGCTCTGCTTCGGTTGGCGGTCCAGCCACTCGAGGCACTCGTGCCGCGCGTCGTTCTCCTTGAGCTTGCCCCCATCGACCAGCGGCCCAACGCAGTAGATCGCGGGCACCGAGCGGCCGGACGGCAGGCAGAGGCCGCCGCGGATCGCTTTCAGGGCCCTCGTCTCCAACCAATCGAAGCTGTTCACCAGAATGCCTCTCGCTTCAGCCATCCGGGAGCAGTGGTGAATCCGGGTCGTGCCCACGTCGCTCTCCCTGTCTTGCATGGTGTCCGGCATGTCCAGCGCGCGAATCGTCGGCACGCCGGAGAAGCTCAGCACCGTGTCGGCCATGTCCTTGAAAGAGGATGGAGCCGAGCGGGCGACATGCGGAACCTGGAGGTAGATCGCTAGGTCGCTGGCCGCAGACGGGTAGAACATGTAGGCCGGGACGGCGAGCTCGGCGGCGACGTCGAGCGCGTCGATGCAGAACATGTCGACCACGAGAGCGTCGACGGCAGCAGGGAACGAGCGCAGGAGCTCCCGGAGCACGGGGTTGGCGAGGCGGAGCGCGTCGACGATCCACATGACGGGGTGGGAGTACGTCTTGCCCTCGCAGGACGGGATGGGAAGGAGGCGGACACCGATGGAGGGGCACACGGCGGCGATGCGGGCGATCGCGCCGGCCAGCACAGCGCCCTTGTCAGGCGGGTCGGCGACGGCGAGGGTGACGGAGACACCGCGGCGGACGAGGGCCTCGGCGAGCTGCACCATGGGGTTGAGATGGCCCACCGCAGGGCAAGGGTAGAGCAGCACCGTCTTCTCCACCATGGCCATGGCCACGCTTCTCGCAGCAGATCAGTCGTTGGAGGAAACGGGTGCGCGCGCGGACTGCGGGATAGCAAAATCGTGTGAAAATGCCCACGGAATCAGTGGCTCCTGGTTTTGTGCCAGCGAAAAGCCCAAAACGCCACAGGCCGGCGGCCGCACGAGACAGGCAGACAGCACAGCAACAGCACGTGGGTGTCTCCCGAATTAGCTAGCTGCAGGAAGTTATCCCGACCGTCGATTGCTGGATCCGACGGTTGGCTTACATCTGTCGCGCATAACACCAAAAGCCGTGTAGCACATGCCGGACATACAATGGTCACGCTGTTTTCGCCGTATAGCTGGGCGTTTGTACGCACGGCTGTTGAGCGTTCACGATTTCACGTATATCGATGAGTGATGATGCCATGCATGACGGAACGACCAGGCCAAAGTCCAAAACCGGGAAACACAGGCTGACAAGGCGGTGCGCGCTGGTCATGAGCTCTAGTATTGCACACAGAAAAACGGCGGTTTTTTCCGAGAGGCGACTGACGAGAGAGAGGTAGATCATCACGAGAGAGTAGTTAGCTACTCCGTCCATCCCATAATATAAAAAATTTTAGATGAATGTGATACATACTACTAGATAATCTAATACAATATATTTAGACAAAGTTAAGTTATCTAGATTCATGGTATTAGGGTGTGTCACATTCACCCAAAATCTCTTATATTATACTCCCTCCGTTTCACAATGTAAGTCATTCTAACATTTTTCACATTCATATCGATGTTAATGAATCTAAACATATATATCTATCTAGATTCATTAACATCGATATGAATGTGGAAAATGGTAGAATGACTTATATTATGAAACGGAGGAAGTAGGACGAATGAAGTACCTCTCTAACTACTGTAGCTCTAAAACTTAACATATCATCTATAACTAATTAACTTAATACTCTAGAATAGTTAACTATATACTACATACTAATCATTAATATATGACTCGTATTTCTCTCTTACATGTTTTATTGGAGCTCATGCTATAGTGGCTATAAATCTGTAGCATGTTTTTCCCCTCTATCCTATCATATTTCTTCTATATAAGTATAAATATGATGTGACAACATTTATAACCCGCTTACATCATCTTAATGTACTCGCTTGAGATGATGTTAGAACAGGTACAATAACAAACTGTAAGTCAGCTATAAGCATACGTGGAGGAGTGAAGAGAAGCGGATTTGTATCCAACTGCAGCACGGATTCCAAAACGCTATGTGTGTATGACATGCGGGATCAATTATTAATGTTGTAGTATATATTTGTAGTTAACTATTGTATGAATTATCTATTAGATTGGTTATATATAATTTGAAGATAGTAGTTGGCTATATTATTAAACTTGCTCTTAGTAATACCTTTTCTGCTGGTGAAAATTAACAAGTGAAAACTTCTCGTTAATTATCATTCAGGATGATTTTTTTTCATTATTCATGTTCACTTTTCCGGTGAAATTGCCCGAGGTAGAATATGTGATACAATAAGCTTTTTGCAGAATATTATCTTTCCAATAAGAAAATGAGAATTTTTTATAACCAAAGTGTGACACTGCCATGTAAGGCCATTCGCAGCGTCGTAGGTTAACGTTCGTGCAAGCTCAGAGATTCCGAGCCAGGTCGACGTGTGTTGTGCCCCAGCGTAGAACATGAAATGTCATTTGGACACGCGAACCTCGTCATAAATTGTCAGATGGTCAGGTGGAAGGCACACGGCGACGGTCGAAACAACGTTGGGGTGGTCATGCCCCATTGAGCTGGCCCCATCCTAAACTTTACCCGCTGCCACCGTCGAGCCGTCGCCGTCGCCGTCTCCCGAGGCCAGATCCGATGAGCTCAGATCGGATCTGGCAAGCTCGGCGGTGAGGAGTGGCCGCCGCCACTGCCAACATCAAGTTGCTGTCATTGCCAACGTTGAGCTATTGCCATCGCCTTCAAGATCAGATCTAGTGACTTACAAGCTCTACAAGAAGAGGGGCGGCACCGACGCCCCAAGGTGGAGGGAGACCACACCGACAGTTGGGGGAGGAGAGAGAGCGGCATAGATAGGGAGGAAGTGCAGCATCGGTGGTGGGTGGTAGGGAGAGCAATGAAGGGGGAGAGGGGTGCCAGTGGTAGGTGGAAGGGAGAGCAGCTGAATGTTCGACCGCCACCATTTGCGTGGGCTTGGCTATGCCATGTCATGTTTAATCATTTATTTTCTTATCTAATTTGTAATTGTGGAATTTATGGATTTTTGTCCGTACTTAATATTGTGCGAACGAATATACAATGTGTATCGATTGTTTGTGGTTTTATATTTGCTGGCTTAAAAAATGTCTAATTGTGATGGTTTGTACAATAGATAAAAATGTCTAATTAGGAGAAAAAGGCTTGCTCGGGATTTGGAACCAACTCCAAGGGGTCTGCACCCGTCTAAAACATATGTATAGGTTTTATACAGCCCCTCCTTTTTCTCCACTTTTATCGTGGGGCGTTGTGACGTCCCAAAACGACCCTGAAATATATCCTTTAAATTATGACTAGAATAATTAAAATTCGTGTGAAAGCCTCCAAAAATTAAAATATGCAAAGTAAAAGTCAAATAAGGCTTAGAGGATTTTTGTATATTTCCTAAAAGCCTAAAATGTGTAAATAAATTTTAGTGGAATTTTCAGAGCACAAATAATAATTATTAAGAAATAAACAAAGTTGAAAAGGTTTTATAAAAAGAAAAACCCTAAAAACCCTCCCTCCCTCTCTTGGGCCGGCTCGGCCCACTTCCCTCCCCCTCTCTCCTCTTTCCCCGTGGCCCACTCGGCCCCTCCCCGCGCGCACGCCGCTAACGGGCGGGCCCGCCTGCCACCCTCGCTGACGGGTGGGGCCCACCCGTCATCTCGTTCCTCCCGCCGCTCCCGCCGCCTCGCCCGCGCCTAGCGCCGCCGCCGCCGCGAATCCCACCGCCTCCCGTCGTCCCCGCGTGAAATCAATAGGGGGGAATTACTCCCCGTGATCCCCTCTCCCTTTCTCCCCATTTTTTCCTCTCTCTCTCTCGCATTCAAACGGGCGGATTTGTTCCCGCAAATCTCGTTGGCGCCATTGATGGCGGCCGGACCTCCCGGCCGGTTTCCTTCCTTCCCCGGCCGCCCTCTCCCCCTTCCAACCCTATTTAAACCCTCCCCGCACCTCACCCGTTTCCACCTTTGCCGCGCCGTCTCCTCGCTGGAATCGAGCTCGCACCGTCGCCCTCTCTCTCCTCTGTCGCCGACGACCTTTGGCCGGCTCTCTCCGCTCGCCGGGACCGTTTCCCGCCCCGGCGTCGCCTCCTCCGGCTTCGCCGCACCGTCGTCGTCCCCGTCCACCCCCTCGTCGAGCTCGCTGACCGCCGGAGCGCCGCCGTCCCCGTCGACCCGAGCCGCGCCGCCGCCTTCCTCCGCTCCGGCCGCCTTTTTCGTCGTTGCCGTCGACCTAGGGTGAGCTGTGGACCGCCGCCTCGTTTCCCCCTTTTCCTCCCCTCTCTCGGCCGCCGCTCCGCCGTGCCTATGGCCGCTGCCGGCGACCATAGGGGCGCGGGCGCGCCGCCTCCCGCCGGCCGCGTCGACGTAGCCGCCTTCGGGCGCGCCGAGTGGCTGCCGCGTGGGGCCTGGCCGTCAGCCGCTCGCGCCCTCAGGTGCGGCTGACACGTGGGGCCCACGGCGCCGGCCAGTGTGAGCCCGGGTGCACCCGGTCCACCGTGGACCGTGAGGCTACCGTGTGGGCCCCACTCCCGTGGACCCGGTCAGCACGCCCTCCTCCCCTCGGCTGATGCAATAAATCCTTTTTAAATTAAAATTTAAATGAAGAAATTCGTAAATATTCATTTAAAGAGCATATAAACTTCAAATGGCCATAACTTGGCCATTTGAACTCGGAATTGGACCGTTCAAGTCTCTAATTTTTCCTTAAGAAGTCGAGAACTCATTTTTGTGCTTTGTTCCTGCTTGTTATATGGAGTTTATTAGAGTAAAAGCTTTTTTCCTTTCCGTTGGTCGTGTAGACGCTACAACTTCGGAAGATCCGCTCTACGTGGAGGTTGAAGCCGACGTTTGGGAAAGCGAGCAAGGCAAGTCACATCATCCTTGAACATATTGAATCCCAGTTTATAAAATTATTTTGATTTAAATTATTGCATTATCGCTTTATTTAAATTCCCGTGTTATCACTGTTTTATTTAGCCATGCCTATTTACCTTTGTTATGACCTTATTATTATTGCTATTGTTATTATTACCTTGTTCACCCTAGAATAAACAAAACCCCAACTAGTGGATACTCTATTCATGGTACCACTAGTATGAATTTAGGTAGATGCTTCGCTAGATTAAATAGGCAACATTATGTGGTTTTACAACTCTAGACTTTGGGAATATTCATATCACCTGGACACTATGGAATGGTTGGATTATTGTGGAATTGGATTCACACCTCCCCCTCTATTCCAAATCCTCAAAATGGTTTTAGGCTGGGCTCGGGGTGCATGGTTTTGATAGTAGCACCTCGGCCATATAAGGACCGGTCTTCGGGCCTCTGTTGCAAAGCACTACCGTAATTCCACATGTCTAGTGGGTAAGGCTTAGTTTGTGGCTCAGTCTGGTTATAAACAAAAGTACACGGATGGAGATGGACGAAGTCGGGGGTCGATGGACATCTCTAGGGAAAATGAAGGCTACACGAGCTGCGGCCCGGTAGTCGAGATGTCATGGCACAGGGCTGGTGTCCTGCTGCTAGGGGCTCAGTCCTGCCTACCTGTCCGGGAGGTTCCGGCCGTAGGTGGGGTTGGGTCGGTACTCTTGTCTATGGCTAGGATGGGTTGGAAACTATGTCACGTCTTTTGTCCGTATGCCGTGGTGGTATGTGGCACGTGGTTACACGTGAGGAAGATGTGTCTTGTGGGTAAAGATATACACCTCTGATCAGAGTATAATCTATTCGAATAGCCGCGCCCTCGGTTATGGGCAAGCCGAGCAATGTACCCAAGTTAGTGTTTTAATTCTTAAAACCTGCTTAACAACTAAAATGTGGAATGGTTGGCCTGGGTTGGCTTGGGACGAGCTAGGACCCAAGGTCGGGTTGCTAGTTCGGTCTGAATCATCGTAGGCCTTAGGTTAAGGCAGGTTCGTGTGGGTTCACGGCCTTGATTAATAATATTGCATAGCTCTAGGATCGTATTTACAAAGTAGCTTTGAGCAACTAAGTGACTTTCAATGCTATTTACTGCAAACCCTAACCCCCTATATTATGGCTCCCTTGTACTCTCTTGCATT